AGATTATTTAATAATAATAATAATAATAATAATAATAATAATAATAATAATAATATTTATTACCCTTATTAAACCGTATATACAAAGTTTACAAAAAAAAGCCTTAAGAGTATAAAGGGCTACATCAGCTTACCCCTTAAAGAAGTAGCTGCTAGAGCCAAAAAAAAACAAACAAATTTAAACAATTCTATAGTAAGACAAATGGCTATTAAGACATTGATAATTAATATTGTTTTAAACTTAAGAAATATAACGAAGTATAGTAAGTTGAGAAATGGAAATTTAGAATGAGAAGAGAAAGCGAGGGGAAAGAGAAGAAGAGAAAAGGGGAGCAGGAGATGTGTTTTCTATGATATCTGAGACAGTAAATCACTTTTAAGGTTCCACTTAAACGAAGATATCGAGAGAGAAAAATCTGTAATTTTGAATTTATTTACCAAAAAGGCAATTTGATATTTATTTATTTATTGATTTCCAACAGGTGAAACCCAATTACACGAAACGCTGAAAAAAATAACAATTAAAGAGACATGGTTCTTGGACTTAAATCTATAGTATCACACATTCTAAATAAGATTGGATGATCTATAGCAGTTAATAATCGATGCACAACTGTCACTGTAAATATCACACGATTCAGTAACACTGTTCATGACGCAGCACATGAGATTAATTGGCGATTTTGTCATAACATTTGTTTGACAATAGAATGCCGTTTGTTGTCGACTCCCTAGCCTTGGAACGCGGAAACATATTTTTTCAAGTAAATTTTGACAGTCAATTTTATTGTGAATGAGGCCATACAAAAACGACAAAGCAAATATGTTTCGTCTTGTTGACAGTGAATCCAAATTGAAAAACTCTAATAGGGCACTATGGTGACAACCTCTTTCTGGATAAGAACCTGTGCATTTAAAGTGAAAATACTTTAAAGCTTTACATTGAATGGCCTCAAGCATCACGACAGAATTTTGGTATATAGGAGACCAGATCAGAGTCGCATACTCCAACTTGCTCCTGACAAAAGTAAAAAATAAAGTCATTAATGTATCAACATTGGAGAAACCCTTCCAGTTTCTGATACAGAAACCAAGTAGTCGAGTGGCAGCCGACGAGATATTGAGAATATGCTCAGTAAACGTTAGCTTGGTATCAAAAATGACTCCAAGGTCTCTATAAGAGGTGCATCTGTCTATAACCTGACCATTGATGTTATAATTATCATAAATTAAATAGTTAACTTTTCTTGTATAAGTCATAACTTTACATTTCGAAACATTCAGACTGAGAGAGTTTCGTGAACACCATGACGAAGTTAGAGCTAAGTCATCTTGCAACATGACGCAATACTCAACTGTCTTGACTGACGTGCAGATTTTAAGGTCATCAGCGAAAAACAAATGGAAACACTTCAGTTCAAAAGACAAGTCAAGGCCTAGATTTGACCCTTGAGGTACCCCAGACGTGGCCGATAGTAACTCGACCTATGACCACCATATTCGACAAATAACCTTCTATCCCTCAAATACGAATTCATGAGTGACAGCATTGCATCAGACATACTCACTGTTTTAAGCTTATCCAGAAGTGCATAATGATCAACTTGATCAAACGCCTTCTGAATATCTGTGTAGATGACATCAACTTGTCCCTGACCGTCCAGTACTTCAGAAATGTACTGAGTAATTAGAGCCAAGTTAGTGACCGTGGATCTGCCTCTCATAAACCCATGCTGATTAATAGAGACTGCACCCCTGACCGAGCAGTAAACCGTTTCATAAGCAATGATCTCAAACAACTTGCTGAAATTGCACAGGATTGCTATTTATATCAGAGATATCTCCACTTTTGTGAATAGGACATATTTTAGAGGTCTTCCAGATATTTGGATATGTCTCTGATATTAGAATTAGGTTGAATCTGGAAGCCAGCGGTTTCGCTAGTATATGAATGCTATCTTTAACCAAAAAACTTGGAATACCATCACATCCAGACGTCATTTTGTTCTTTAATCTTTTCGAAGCCCTAATTACGTTTTCTTCACTTATATTTTTTAAAGAAATGATATCGGTAGAATTATTTGTTGGAGGAGATGACCCTAGTAGACCAGACGGGATAAAAACTGTTGAAAAGAAGGTAGCAAAACTGTCCACTATATCCTGAGGCGTATCGCAGCGCAGCGTCATCCTTGGGGGATTCTAGATTGCTGTTTTTTCATCTGGGAAAATGACCAGAATTTGCTAGGATCATTGACAATGGCATCCTCAATCGATTGGACGTAAGCGGAGTAGGCAACGCTGATCTGGTTCTTAATGAGCTTCCTAAAATTACTGAACTGATCATAAGAAAACTTAGTACCGTCACGTTTCCAGTTCCCTCTTGCTACGTCCTTCTTCTTGATATTAAGTATAATTTCACGTGTGAACCATGGGGGATACGAAAACATTTTATTTTTACATTTAGGGACATGGACCTCAAAGATGTTATTGATGATATGAGAATGATTTCTTAAAAGATTCTTTATTGTGTGATGGTATTGTAATCAAATTCAATCTTCTAATGTTCAAATTATGTACATTAGTCCGGTAACTAATTTTTAAGTGAAGATAAGGAGGGCTTTTATATTTTATAATCTTGTAAAAAAAGAAAGAAGAGTGCAAGGTACGCCTCTGAGCCATATTCAACAATCCCAGTTCAGGTAGTTTGTGGGATACTCTTTGTCTACCCCTTATACCAAATATCAATCTCAGACAAGAATTCTGAGATTTTTGAACCCGTTTTAGTTTCACACTATCAAGAAATGGGCCATATACCATATCAGCAAAGTTGAAGTAGGACAACACTAAAGCTTCGCAGTGCGTGGCTTTAGTATTTTGTGATAGGTAATGTCTATGGGGGTAAATTATTTTTAACATTGAATATGCTTTTCTTAGGCACTGAGTAATGTGCTCTCTAAACTTAAGTTTAGAGTCAACCACTAAGCTCAAATCCTTCGCGGAATCCCTAAATGATACTATATTGTCCCCTAGTTTGAGCTTAATATTATTTTCTAATACGTTTCTGCAGGAATCACTACAAAACAATATAGCCGTCGATTTACTAGGGTTTATCTTTAACAAGTGATCTTCAGAGGTTTTGAGAAGGCTATTCAAGTCGGATATATTTCAAAATAGCCACTACTATCTCATGATTAATCATGTCAAATGCTTTCGTGTAGTCCAATAACACCAAGACAGTAGCATTTCCCGCATCCTGTTCTCTGATGACATCATCCACAAGATCTGTTAATGCTGTGGAACAACTGTACCCGGTTCTAAACCCTGACTATCTAGGGGGGATGATATTGTTGGCAAAAACGTAGTTAGCAACTTGTATAGCGATTGCCTTTTCCAAAAGTTTAGAAAGGGTCGGTAAAAGCGAGATTGAACGCAGTTGACCAAATTCTGTCGGATTGTTAACCTTAGCTAATGGAAGAACATTGGCTAGTCCAGCTTTTAGGAAAATAAGACCATTTAATACAACTATTTATAATATGGGTAATAAAAGGAGCTATAAGAGGGCAACACAAGGAAATCAGGGTAACGTTCAGCCTTCGTCTTGATACTGAGGATACTATTTAAAACAAAATCTTCATCGATTAGGTTAAATGAGAAGGTTTCATTAAGCAAGGAATTGTTGTTATAGAAATGCAACAATTCTTGTTTTGGAGTATTATTTTGTGATATTTGGGCAAAGTAGGTAATAAGTTCATTAACATTCCTTAAATGGTCAGGGATGTATTTATTTTTATTTCTAAGTATATTTAGTTTATTTAGGTCAGCCCATTTTTCCTTTTCTGAGCAATTCTAAAACTTTAAATTTAGATATGCCTTTTTTTCGGCTCTAATAGCAGAAGTGGTCAGGTTTCTTAATTGGTTATCATAGTCTCGATGACCAGTTTGGTGCGTTCGTCTAAAACGAGAAAGAGCTTGATTTCGAAGCCTGTTCATAAACTTAATAACTAATGACTTAATTTCAATGCTTCCATTATATATTATCTTTTCGAATACATTTAATCGTTTCCTTTTTTGTTATACATATTAGACGGGCTAACCTGTGTCGAATATACCCTGAAACGTTGCATACGAAGTGCAATAACATCAATCCCACATGCATTTGCTTTGATGAAATTTTCTAAAAAGTCAATCCATTTGACGTTAGGTTTGGATATACTCGTAGATATTTCGACGGCTTCATTGTGCCGCAAGTACACAGAGTCAGCCTACTTGACGGTATTTTCTGTTTATATTTCAAAATAAGCTAGAACTGTAATAAATGCTATAAGTACCAATTTCCGATTGTGTACTCACAATTTATGTTCAGAGATGAACAAGGTCGAAAAGTTTCACGTCTGATCGCTCGTTGGAGTCTCCATGTAAAAGCATTGGATCAATGTACGGTGAGATCCAAATTTGGCTGACGCCGGAAGTAAAGTGGATGTATGGGCATCAAGAAAATGATACGGTCAATATGGATTCCTCAAAGAGACGGTTCCGTCGCTCATAATTTGGAAACATTTTTTGGGGGAGGAATAATAGAAACGGGCCTGCAAATCATTCCCAATTGGCTGACTTATTCACCCTTTTCAGGTTGCCCACTGGGCTTCTGTTCGGCCCGTGAGTTTGGAAATCGTCCCTTCATGTTGAAAAAACAAGCGTAAACGGTAGATAACCCAACTAACAATTATCACTCCTATTGGAGTTGCAAGAACGATTATACAGTATTCCTTAAACAGCATTGTATTCTGTAAGAACATTGGCAAAACCCTCTCAGAACAGCTATACAAGCGGAATGGGCACACCTAATAGGACACTTCAGTCATTTAAGAGGTTGTTAAAGGGCTGCAGGTAACAGTTATACAACAAAAGTGTAAGCCTCTTGCAGCCGCTATAGGACATTTGCATCAGTGCATGATTCAGTTTTTGTATACCTGTATATCTTATCACCGCTTTGATTTTCAGATACTTGGCAACCTAACAGTCCTCAACATAGAGAGCCATCAAATAACAGAGTTGCCAAAAGACTCGTTCGCCCTCTCTGACATGGCAGGCACACTGATGAGGTTCCACTTGACAGGCGGAAACCTCACTGCTCCTCCTCCCGAAGCCCTTCAGCCTTTGAGGAGGTTAAGGACTCTCGACTTGCACGGTAATCAGATTGCCGAGTTGAAAAGGAACCAATTTAAGGGACTGAGGGACGTCGAAGTGCTGGATCTTAGTTACAACGAGATACCTAAAGTAGATGCAAGTCACTTAGGAGATCTCACCAAGATGACGTGGTTCAACGTATCTAACAATCGTCTGACAGAAATAACTAGGTGAGTAACATTATGTACATGAAAAAGTGCTCATGGCAATTACTAATATGCAAACAACGAACGACGTTTTAAAAAACAGACTTTATTTAACAGAAGACGAATGAGTACTGGTCACATTCTTTAACGTATCTTTTAAGTAGCTCCTATTTATAACCTAGGCTAGAATAAGGGAATTGAAAAGTGCAAACTAGGCATCGCTACATATGAGATATAAATGAAACGAACGAACGAACGAAACGAACGAAACGAACGAAACGAACGAAACGAACGAAACGAACGAAACGAACGAACGAACGAAACGAACGAAACGAACGAAACGAACGAAACGAACGAAACGAACGAAACGAACGAAACGAACGAAACGAACGAAACGAACGAAACGAACGAAACGAACGAAACGAACGAAACGAACGAAACGAACGAAACGAACGAAACGAACGAAACGAACGAAACGAACGAAACGAACGAAACGAACGAAACGAACGAAACGAACGAAACGAACGAAACGAACGAAACGAACGAAACGAACGAAACGAACGAAACGAACGAAACGAACGAAACGAACGAAACGAACGAAACGAACGAAACGAACGAAACGAACGAAACGAACGAAACGAACGAAACGAACGAAACGAACGAAACGAACGAAACGAACGAAACGAACGAAACGAACGAAACGAACGAAACGAACGAAACGAACGAAACGAACGAAACGAACGAAACGAACGAAACGAACGAAACGAACGAACGAACGAAACGAACGAAACGAACGAAACGAACGAAACGAACGAAACGAACGAAACGAACGAAACGAACGAAACGAACGAAACGAACGAAACGAACGAAACGAACGAAACGAACGAAACGAACGAAACGAACGAAACGAACGAAACGAACGAAACGAACGAAACGAACGAAACGAACGAAACGAACGAAACGAACGAAACGAACGAAACGAACGAAACGAACGAAACGAACGAAACGAATAACACGAACAAAACGAACGAAACGAATAACACGAACAAAACGAATAAAACGAATAAACGAATAAAACGAATAAAACGAATAAAACGAATAAAACGAATAAACGAATAAAACGAATAAAACGAATACAACGAATAAAACGAATAAACGAATAAAACGAATAAAACGAATAAAACGAATAAAACGAATAAAACGAATAAAACGAATAAAACGAATAAAACGAATAAAACGAATAAAACGATAAAACGAATAAAACGAATAAACGAATAAAACGAATAAAACGAATAAACGAATAAACGAATAAAACGAATAAAACGAATTAACGAATAAAACGAATAAAACGAATAAAACGAATAAAACGAATAAAACGAATAAAACGAATAAAACGAATAAAACGAATAAAACGAATAAAACGAATAAAACGAATAAAACGAATAAAACGAATAAAACGAATAAAACGAATAAAACGAAACGAATAAAACGAATAAAACGAATAAAACGAATAAAACGAATAAAACGAATAAACGAATAAAACGAATAAAACGAATAAAACGAATAAAACGAATAAAACGAATAAAACGAATAAAACGAATAAAACGAATAAAACGAATAAAACGAATAAAACGAATAAAACGAATAAAACGAATAAAACGAATAAACGAATAAAACGAATAAAATAAATAAAACAAATGAAATACATGAAATAAATAAAACAAAATGTATAAAGTTATAAGTGGAAACTAAGAAATAGTTTTATGGGCCTGTTTGAGTGACTTGACCTATTTTTTGTAATACAGAATCGTAGTTGACTTTTTTAAATGGCTAACTTGTGATAAACATAACCCTTTATGATGTGATGACTGCGTTGCGTGTAGCCGTTAGCACTGAAATACGCCGTCTTGCTTTGCTTTCCAGAAGAAAACTGATTTTTAAATGTCATGTTCCGAGCAGCTGACGCGTGGGAAGTAACCTGTTGACTTTACAAATACGTGTGTCCGAGTTTTTCGTAAGACTCATTTCAACAAAGGCTATCACATAGAAGCACTCGAAGACAAAACGCTAAAAGTCGGAGCTGTTTTTGATAACATCGAGCAAAGTTTATCAAAACATATCTACAGTGCACACAGATGAAATCAGTTTTTGCCGCCGAACATGAAAGAACGACCGCTTTAACGCACACATAGGAAATTGTACCAGTTGAGCTCATGCAAGGTTATCCAGTCAACAATCTTTTTCTTAGATTTTTTTTTTGTTTCTCTGAGAGATGTACGCTTCGTTAAGGTTTAACTTTAAATTATAGGAAATCCATGGATTCGGTCATTAACGTCAAACAGAAAAATTCAGGTAAAGCTGGACATCACTATCTCTAATCCAGATGGCCTGAACTTTGGGGTACCTCACGGTGAAGTGCTATCACCGTTTCCGCTTTTGTTATTTGTGAACGATTTAGATGATCACATAATTGATAATAATTGTCTCTTGTTACCTTCATTGATTACACAACTATAACAGTATCACCAAAGTCGGCAGAGGATCCAGCAAGTAAGGCTAACATCATAATTCAGATTTTTCAATAGTGAGTAGCGTTAAATAGGTTACTAATTAATACGGATAAAACAAAATATATCGTGTATCACAAACTTAGGCAACATAACAACATCACAGTTACAATAAACAACTGGAAAGAGTACCAGATAACATTTTTAGGTTTAATAGTGGATGAAAATCTGAGCTGGAAAGTGTATGCAGCTAAAAAGATGAATTCAGTATTTTTTGCTCTAAGAAGCTTAAAATACGCAATAAAAACACGTATTGAATGTCAACTACTCTATTGTATATTCCTCAAATATTTAATGCTATATTTAGGATCATCTATTGAGGCCCAACAGATCTTCGTCCTTCAAAAAGATATACTGAGACTCTTATTCTCATTGCATCCTCTAGAGTCGTGTCGAAAAATATTCAGAAATAAGAAAATACTAACTTTAGCATCATTACTCAACCCAGAGGCGTGCTTTCATGTGAAATCATATCCTTCCAAATTCACGTACCTAAATGAGTTAATTGAACAACTATAGCCTCAGCACATACCGTAATAGCCGGTCCACTTACTATAGATACGTGACACTTTTTGCTGTAACTATTTTTGATTCATGTATAAGAATGAAGATTGAAAATTTCACCACATAATTAAATTACCTTTTTTCGGAGACCACATATACTCGAAGAAATAGACCTCTCATTAACTTTCTAACTTCTTTGTCGTCGGTAAAATTATTTTATTTCTCCTACTACTCATGATAAATTTCAGGTGACAATATGTAAGTTAATTAACAAATTTCACGGGAAACTTGGCTGAGTGTGTTTTCCATCGGCTTTCATCAGAGTTTTTTATAAATTTTTTGACGAGATGAAGTGAGAATCATCAGAGGAACCTGTCATTCGTAATCAACAAATAGTTATTTGAATATTTTTCTGCGGACGCTATATCATTTGAACAATATTATTTTTTCTTTATTGGGTATAAGAAAAACTAGATTTTTGATAGCTGAAAGCTATTCTTCTTAAGGTTTTTGCGGGGTCTTTTTTCAGAGTGTTGCTTAGAGAAGTTTGATAATACCCAAAGTACTGGGTGCGCCATCTATTACTATTTTTTAACTTATAAGTTTATGTGTTACCATTTGAGCCAAGAGTCATGTGATATGCATAAATGAACTGTCAAATGTATGCCATTAATAGTCATGGATTCGTTTACTACACAACTACGCATTTTGGTGATCCAAACTTATTACGAAAACCGTCGAAATATAAAAAATACTTTTCGTTTTTGTTAACTGGATGCTGGAAAGAAAAGACGGATTTTCGGCCAAAGTGCTCTTTTCTGATGAGGCTCATTTTCACCCCAACGGGTACGTAAATAAGCAAAATTGCAGATTCTGGGGGCTGAAAATCCACACCAATATCATGAACAACCTCTCCATCCTGAACAAGTGACTGTTTGGTGCGGATTATGGGCTGGTGGCATCGTTGGACAATTCTTCTTTGAAGATGCCGAAGAAAAGGCCATTACCGTCAACGGGGAACGTTATCGCGGCATGTTGACAGACTTTTTGTAGCCACAATTGGATCGTATTGGTGCCTACGATCTTTGGTTTCATCAAGACGGAGCAACGGCTCACACATCTCGCCAAACAATCGCCTTATTGCACACGAAATTTCAAGACCGCATAATTTCACGAAATTCGGATGTTGGCCCCCGAGATCGTGCGATTTAATACCTTTTGACTACTTTACTCGGGGATTTTTGAAAGGAAAAGTGTATGCGAATGGTCCCCGGACAATTCAAGACCTAAAGCGCAATATTCGGACAGAAATTGCGGCCATAGACCCGATTATTCTGGAGAAAGTCATTGAAAATTTTAACGTTCGGATATTGGCCTGTAAACGAAGCCGCGGTGGCCACATGACTGATGTTATTTTTAATACATAAATGGCATAAACTAACCTTCATTTGTCAATAAAAAAATTTATAAAAAGCGTGTTAATTTTTGAAATAGAAAAAAAAAGTAATAGATGACGCACCCTGTACATGATATTTCCGATACCCTTTTCTTCTTTTGTCGATTTTACACTACATAAATATGCGCGAATTATCCTTTTCTGTATGCATCATGTGCTCTTATTGCTCAAACACAATCATTAATCATAATCACGCTGCAACGCACCCCAATTAAAACATCGTAGCACATACATCAGTCGACGTCTGCCGGCGTTGAAAAATTGCTCGGCAAATGCTTAAGCAATTCACGTAACATTATAACATTAATGCTTCTATACACTAAACACTATCATTAGCATCACTCGATATGTATCAGAGAGTTTTTCAAGAAGGATGCTGTTGAGTACTACATCCTATCTTATTGTTATTAAGTTCATTCATTACTTATTCTAATCACAATGGCCTTCATTGTTCTGATGACTGATTATAGTTATTAACTATGCCTATTAGATATTTG